TTTTCTCTTTCACATGATGCAACAGCTACTCCACCTGACAGCTCTCCTGATGAGTCTGCACTTGCACTTCATCTCTTTAGTGCAATGACTGTTTTCTATCCCAGTCTCATGTCAAAACTTCCACTGGGGGAGAGGTTATAAGGAATCCTGAGCACAAGCCTGAGAAAGCCATATTCCTGATTGTATTGTCCATGGTGAATATTGAAAATCTGCTTATTTCTCATACATTATTAGAGAACATGAATTCTCTGTCATGGGTTTATATAAATTGTGGGTTAATTTTCCATTGTTCTCCAACATAAAGAACAGGAGAATGTGATCTGAAGTGGCCCGAGCCTGCAATGGAGGAGACCTGGGATCAATCCCTGAGTGGGGAAGATCCACTGGAGAAGGGATTGGCTACCCACTCCAGTATTCTTGCCTGGCGAATTCCATGGACAGAGGAGCCTGGCGGGCTACAGTCCATGGGGTTGCAGAGCTGGACACAACTGACCGACTTTCACACTTTCAGAAAGACTAATAAAGACCTACTGTATAATACAGGGAACTCTACTCAATACTCTGTAATGACCTATAAGGGAAAAGAATCTAAAAAAGTGGATGTATGCGTAACTGATTCACTTTGCTGTGTACCTGAAACTAACACCACATTGTAAATCAACTATACTCCAGTAAAAGTCTTGTAAAAATACATTTAAAAAGGGCGTTGGTTAAAGAGGATTGTGTGAAAATGCGTGGACAATACAGAAAATGGACTTAATAGAAAAAAGTACCCCCCACTAACTATCAGAGGATCCAAATTCTAGCACTGGCTGGCAGTATAACATGATCCTTTCCTTTTTTTTTTTTTTTTTTTTTACAGTCAGGTAACTGACTAGGCTAGTTCCTTCAAACTGTGACATTCTATGACTCAGTTTTCTCAGCGGGAGTGGAGGGAGATATTAACCCCTTTTCCCCTGGGCCCACAAGGATGTAGCAGCTGGGATTTCTGATGGGTGGAACAGCTTGTATAGATGAGCGCAACTCGGATCTGGGAGAGCTGTGGGACTGTGGGACTCCCGTGGCTGAACTCCAGTTAACAAGCCACGGAATTACTGCACCTTTAATCCCTTTTTCCAAAATGCTGCACTGGCTCTGCCTTCCACACCCTGCCCCTCTAACCACTCAGGAGGTTGAGCAGGTGCAGCCCAGGCAGATGCTGGCGGACATAAGGGGAGGATAGAGACCAGAGGAAGCTTTTGTTCCTAGGGTCAATAAGAGAATCTTCTGCAAATGACTGATTCACCTTCCGAGTTCTTCAGAATCTTGCCAGGGAGGGAAAGGGGAGGCAGACTACTTTTCCTCCCTCTCTGATATTGCCTCTGGTGCAGATCCATCGGTTATTCCAAGCTCCCTGGCCTGAGGGAACAGCACCCCAGGAAGCAACTAGGGAACTGAGAAGCTTATCCTTGCATACCCCTTCCTCCAGAATCCTGCCTCCACCTCCCTCCAGATAAGGTCTCTAAAAAGTCTTGTTATTCACTGGGGCTTCCCTCATAGTTCAGTTGGTAAAGAATCCGCCTGCAACACAGGAGGCCCCGGTTTGATTCCTGAGTTGGACAGATACCCTGGAGAAGAGAAAGGCTACCCATTCCAGTATTCTGGCCTGGAGAATTCCATGGACTAAGTCCATGGGGTCGCAAAGAGTCGGACATGACTGAGCGACTTTCACTTTAATCCGTGCATCTAATAGTGGATTGTCTGGTTCTTCAGTCCCAAGTTATTCCTTCAAGGATGGGGTCATATAGGCTGTTAGCCTCTCAAACCCTTTGAATGAAATAATCTCAGATACTTCCAGTCTCCTTGATAATGATGGCTTTAAAGTTCCCCTCAGCTTTGGTGCAGTGGTAAAGAATCTGCCTGCCGATGTAGGAGATGCAAGAGATGCCAGTTGGGTCCCTGGGTCAGGAAGATCCCCTGGAGGAGAAAATGGCAACCTGCTCTAGTATTCTTGCCTGGCAAATCCCATGGACAGAGGAGCCTGGTAAGCTACATCCGTGGGGTCACAAAGAGTTGGACATGACTAAGCCACTGGGCCTTTGAGCAGCTTGACTCGATTTTGGATGGGTATCTTCCAGACTCTAGGTTCTGACTCCTCTTTTCTTTGAGCATTTACTTTAGAAAGCTTGCTACTGTAAATCTTATCTCTGTCCATTTGAGATGTAAATCTTCTCTCAGCTTCATTCCTGGAAAGTCTTTCTCTTTGACCTAAGAGTCATTTCTCTGAAATGTAAATATTGAGGAAAATATCACCCAGTTTCTCAGAGGGTAAGAGCCTGACTTAGGGGTGAGGGGGAGGAAGGCTAGTTTCAAGTTGCCAAACTACCTCCTTCAAGAAGATACCAGAAAGTTTACTTTTCCTTTAGTGTGTAGTGTAGTGTGTTACTCACTCAGTCGTGTCTGACTCTTTGCAACCCCATGGACTGTAGCCCGCCAGGCTCCTCTATCCATGGGATTCTCCAGGCAAGAATACTGGAGTAGGTTGCCATTCCCTTCTCCAGGGGACTTTTCCTTTGGGTAAGGCCAATTAGCAAATACTGATGGTCTAAGATGCCTGCCACTCCAGCTCTTAAGAACTCTTCAGCCCTTTGTTTCCACCTAGCTGGGGAACAAGACTGGTCTATTTCCAGCAATAGTAGCTAAATAAAATAGAGCTCTGTTTGCTTGTAATATCTGGTACGATTGATTGTTTTTCTTTAACACTCATGGTTATGTTTTCTTTTGAATCCCTCTTTCCTGGTATTTGTTATCTTGTGGTGTATTAGGCAACCAAGTGATATATTACTGCAAACCTGTGTGTGTGTGTGTGTGTGTGTGTGAGACTTCTCTCACTGGACTGAAAATTTCTTTGGGACGAATACTCTCTACCATAGATTGCCTGGGAGAGCCCTGTCAGTGCTCAGGCTCTGTTTATTGACAAATACTTTATGTCTTATACAAACCACAACTGTTAATTATCTTTTTAAAATGTCAAGGCTTAAAAAACATATTTTTACTTACTTCACTCTGTATGTGAAGTAAGTCAGAAAGAGAAAAACAGGGGACTTCCCTGGTTGTCCAATGGTTAAGAATCCGCCTGCCAATGCTGGAGACAGGGTTAGATCCCTGGTCCAGGAAGATCCCACATGCTGAGAGGCAATTAAGCCTGTGAGTCACAACTACTGAAGCCCATGTATCCTAGACTTTATGCTCTGCAACAAGAGAAGCCACCACAATGAGAAGCCCACACACCAAAACTAGAGAGTAGCCCCACTTGCCACAACTAGAGAAAGCCCAAGTGCAGCAACAAAGACCAATGCAACAAATAAATATCTTTTAACAAAAGAGAAAAGCAAATATCCTATGTTAATGCATGTATGTGGAATCTAGAACAGTGGTACAGATGACCCTATTTATAGTGTAGGAATAGAGTCACAGTCATAGAGAATGGACATGCAGACACGAGGCAGGCAGGGGCAGTGCCATGCATTGGGAGGCTGGGGTTGCCATGTGCGCCGGCCTGTGTAAAGCAGACAGCTAGTGGGAGCCAGCCAGGCAGCACAGGGAGCGCTGTAGGGACCCAGTGCTGGGGGCGGGGGGACGGAGGCTCAGAGGGAGGGCACGTGTGTCTACATGTGGCCAAGCCACTGTGCAGTAGAGACCTACACAACATTGTAAAGCAACTATGCTCCAATTAAAAAAATAAACATTTTTATTTGTATTGTTTTCTGCCAGCAAAAAAATACTGCACATTTTTTGCAATGGCCAAGAGGAAGGATTCTGAATCCCACTCATCTCTTTTCCTATGAAGATCCAAAATTTGGGATACAGGTGGAAGCTGGTTTAGTGGGGGTGGAAGAGAGGCTCCAAGTGGATCTCCTCAGATGGGGCCTCAAGAAGAAAGACAAAATAGGGATAAAACAACCATATGACCCAGGAATCCCACTACTGTGCATATACCTGAGAAAACCACAACTAAAAAAGATACATGTACCCCAATGTTCACTGCAGACTATTTACAATAGCAAGGACATGAAAGCAACCTAGAAGTCCCATTGACAGCTGAATGGATAAAGAAGATATATATGGTACATATATACAATGGAGTATTACTCAGCCATAAAAGGAACAAATTTGAGTGAGTTATAGTGAGGTGGATGAACCTAGAGCCTCTTATAAAGAGTGAAGTAAATCAGAAAGATAAAAACAAATATAGTATATTAACATGTATATATAGAATCTAGAAAAATAGTACTGATGAACATATTTACAGAGAACAAATGGAGATGCAGAGTAGAATGGACTGGTGGACACAGCGGGGGAAGGGCAGGGTAGGACAAATTGAGAAAGTATCATATATACATATATATGTATATACATACACACACTATCATGTGTAAAATAGATAACTAGTAGGAAGCTGCTGTATAATATAGGGAGCCCAGCCTGTTGCTCTGCGATGACCTAGAGGAGAGGAATGGAGTTGGGGAGGATAAACAGGGAGGGGATATATATATAAAATTATGACTAATTTTCATTGGTATATGGCAGAGAACACCACAACACTGTGAAGAATTATCCTCCAATTAAAAAAAACTAAAAATAAAAAAGAAGAAAAACAGGAAATTGGTACGGTGGAAGACTTCCTGGAATTTAATTGGGAGCACAGAGGGATGAGTAGAGGCTCCGAGGGAATCCCACTGTAGATTGCACCAAGATTTCAGAGCCTGAAAGTGGGAATTGTCTTTCCTCATTTAGCTTGAGAGTATTCCAGTAGCACCCTTGTTTCTCAAATTTGATTATCCTTCAATCTACTAACTGCCCTGGGCAGTGTCGAAGCTTGAGAGAACATTCTTTGTCTAGGTTACCACTGTCCATATCATATATATCACGTATTCTAATACCCACATAGAAAAACCAAAGTGCAGAGAAATGAAGTGACTCTTTAAGGTTTATCTCTGTGCATACTCTTCATGACAGCATCAGGATGCAGATTCCAAGTCTCTCACTCTGGTCTTCTGTCTGGTGTACCATCTTGCTTTTCTCTTATTGAGGTCAGCAGTTTGCAGGGCCAGGGAGCAGGATGTTGGAGGCTGTAGACCCTCCTGTGAGACGAGGTGGGAATTAGGCTCTTGTGTGAAGTCGCTGCTGTCAGAGCATGTGCTGTGGTTGTGGTGGTGGTGAAAGCCTGCAATGGAAATTTAAAAGAAACACATCAAAAAATAAAATAAAATAAAATAAAAATAAAAGAAACACATCAAGCTTTTTTAAAAAAACTGAAGTATAGCTAATTTACAAATGTTGTATTAGCCTCAGGTGTACACCAGAGTAATGCAATTATATAAGTGTGCTTAGTCGCTTAGTTGTGTACGACTCTTTGCAACCCCATGGACTGTAGCCGTCCAGGCTCCTCTATCTATTCACGGGGATTCTCCAGGCAAGAATACTGGAGTGGGTGCCATGCCCTCCGCCAGGGGATCTTCCCAACCCAGGGATTGAACCCAGGCCTCCTGCTTTGCAGGAGAATTCTTTACCACTGAATCACCAGGGAAGCCCACACAGATGAATTCTTTTTATTCTTTTACATTATAGGTTATTACAAGATATTGTTTATATTTCTCTGCACTATACAACAAGACCTTGTTGTTTATCTGTTTTATATATAGTATAGTGTGTATTGGGCTTCCCAGGTGGTGCTAGTGGTAAAGAATTTGCCTGACAATGCAGGAGACGCAAGAACTGGTTCAGTTCCTGGGTCGGGAAGATCCCTTGAAGTAGGAAATGACAACCTATTCCAGTATTCTTGCCTGGAAAATTCCATAGACAGAGGAACTTGGTGGGCTCCAGTCCATGAGGCTGCAAAGTCAAAACTGAGCACCTGAGCACACACACACAGTGTGTGTCTGTTAACCCTAGACTCCTAAAGTCCTCTCCTGCTCCTCCACGGCTCCCTGCGGGAACCATAAGATCACTTTCTGTGTCTGTGAGTTTGTTTCTGTTTTGTAATTAAGTTTATTTGTATCACATTAAAGATTCCACAAATAAGTGATATCATATGATATTTGTCTTTCTGACTTATTTCAGTTAGTATGATAATTTCTAGATCCATCCATGTTGCTACAAATGTCATTATTCCATTCTTTTTAGTGGCTGAGTAATATTTCACTGTGTATATATACCATATCTTTTTAATTTATTCATCTGTCCATGGATATTTAGACTGCTTTCATGTTTTGGCTTCCCATGTGGCGCTAGTGGTAAAGAACCTGCCTGCCAATGCAGGAGACATAAAAGATGCAGGTTCAATCCCGAGGTCAGGAAGATCCCCTGGAGAAGGAAATGGCAACACACTCCAGTATTCTTGCTTGGAGAATCCCATGGACAGAGGAGCCTGGCTACGGTGCATAGTATTGCAGAGAGTCAGACACAACTGAAGTAACTTAGCAGGTATGCGTGTTTTGGCTATTGTAAATAGTGCCATTGGGGTGCATGTATTGTCTTGAATTAGAGTTTTCTCTGGGTATATGCCCAGAAGTAGGATTGCTTGATCATATGGTAACACTATTTTTAGTTTTTAAAGGAACCTCCTTATTGTTTTCTATAGCAGCTTCACCAATCTGCATTCCCATCAACAGTGTAGGAGGGTTCCCTCTTATCCACACCCTCTCCAGCATTTATTTGTACTTTTTGATGGTGGCCATTCTGACCCATGTGAGGTTATATCTCACTGTGGTTTTGATTTGCATTTCCCTAAAACTTAGCAATGTTGAGCAACTTTTTATGTCTTTGGAGAAATGTCTATTTAGGTCTTCTGCTCATTTTTGATTGGGTTGTTTGTCACATCATGAATCTTTGAGACAACTGTAGGTACTGGGTTGGTAGAAACTACCCTACCTTGGGAAATGTTTCATGCTACTACGAGTGATCTTTAAAGTTATTTTCAGCAGTAGCAGTGACATCAGAGTCATGTGACTTAGACTTTCTATTCAGCTCAATGTTTAGAGTTATAAACAGTTCACCTGTACTTCTATTCTTATTCTTCTGTATAGATTACTGAGCACTGCTGGAGAAAATGACAAAACCATTGCCAATCCATGTTCTGCAATTTGAATTGAGCCCTAACATTATTCACCAATTCGACTACTGAGATATGTTTCTATTATTTTTGTCCTTTCTCCATGGTGGTGATCTTAAACCTTTATGATCCTCCTCAGATTTCCTGACTCACACTTTTAATGATGACCTGACAGGAAAAAGGGAGAAAAGAGTAAGCACACATTTCTTGACCTCCTCTCCAGATGACCAATGTAACTAGTCACGCCTGTCCTTTTTCGTTTCCTCTCATCTCAGAGATCTGTACCTTAGTCCCTGGCTAAACTCTCCAAAAGTGCTTTGGATCGCAGCTCATTCCCACTCTCCACTGACCTCACATCGTCATTTCCCTACCCTTCTGAACCACGGTCCCCTGCACTCTATTGATTCTTTTCCTCCAGCAAAAATACATGCTTAAGACTTCATCATCCTAGGGAAAAAAACACAAAACACTCCTTAGAGACTCTTGGCCCTTTTACCTACTTTGCTTGCGTAATTTCCTATTCATTTTTCACATTAACATTATAAAGCCCTGTCACACAAATAAAAATACTCTTATCAAGTTTCCTAATCATTGTCTAGTGGAAAATCTAGTGGTCTAATTGCACTGTCTTTCCTACTGGATATTTTACGACATATGTTACTGAACACTACATCCCCCTTCTTGAAACATTATTTTTGTTGTTGTTCAGTCGCTCAGTCGTGTCCAACGTTTTGTGGCCCTATGGACTTCAGCACGCCAGGCTTCCCTGTCCTTCACCATCTCCTTCAGCTTGTTCAAACTCATGTCCAGTGAGTCGGTGATGCCATCCAACCATCTCATTCTCTGTCATCCCCGTCTCCTCCTGCCCTCAATCTTTCCCAGCATCAGGGTCTTTTCTAACGAGTCAGCTCTTTGCATCAGGTGGCCAAAGTATTGGAGTTTCAGCTTCAGCATCAGTTCTTCCAATGAATATTCAGGATTGATTTCCTTTCTAAAGTTACTGTGTTTCATTGAGTCTGATAAGCTATTGTTTGTAAGGCTTATGATTATTTTCAAGGAGGCAAGTGTGTGTGTGTGTGTATGACAAAACTGTATATCTTACAATTACATTGGCTGACAATGTCAATTGCTAGATGCATTCTATTTCAGACATATACAAATACAGAAAAATGCACATCTTAGAATAAGTGAAATACAGAATCTCTAACCACAATAACTCCTCCTGTAATGAAATTCTATCACCCTAGCAGGAAATAGAATCTATTACTCATTTGAAATGTGTAACTCATGGAAACTTCCTCTCTGGCAGAGCAATTCCAATCTTTCTGTATACCTGACTTCTAGGAAAAGACAGGACATGTTTGAGAGAGGAACTGATGTGCTGGGTATTTCATGAATTGTGTAGAAAATTATAGTCATATAGACTCTGCACAGCCTGCTTTGCTGGACAGCTTGGCATTATTTTTTTCTTGTGTGAGGCTGACATCTGCTGGACAAGTAACACTTGATCAGAGCTTTGTATTTTAGAGTAAATTAAAATTTTTGGCAGTGAAGCTTAGCTGTGGTGCATATACTCCATGTTTTCTATTTGAATTTGGCAAGTTTGGCAGTTAATTTTCTTTTCAAATTTTGTATGCTGTGGTTGAGTCCCAGTGAGCTTTAGAATGAGAGCTCGCCTTTGGGGCATCTTTAATATGTGAGGATAAAGCCCTTTCATTAAACTAGTTGTTCTTAACCCTCACCAGGTGCCAGAATCACTGTGTGTGATAGACGGTTTATAAACATGGCCACAACCACCCTCCCATTGCACATGCCTTTTCACAGTGTGACTTTGCCACTCCTATTAAAAAAGTAAAGCATGTTTTCCTTCCTTTTGAATCTAGATTGGCTTTGCAATTTAATTTGAGCAATAACATGTGGTTGAAGAGGCACTGTACAACTTACAACATATCCTTAAAAAGAGACATTGCAACTCAGTTTTTGCTGAACATTCTTCAGTTAAGATTACTGAAGAATGACTCAACCCCCATGAGAGTACCTGGCTGACAGTGAGCACCAAGATTCAGTACCAAGGTCAGCACCATTAGGGTGAGCCCACTTTTGACCAGGTCCAGCCCAGCCAACTAGCCAAAAGCAGTTGCATAAGTGAAACCAGATAAGACAAGCAGAAGAATCCCCCCAGCAAACCCACAAAATAGAAATAATAAGTAAGTTTTTCTTTAAGTCACTATGTTTTGGGTGGTTTATTATACAGCAATAGATGATTGATATCATTAGGAAAACTTTTTAAGAAGAATGAACAATAATAATGCCCAAGTTCAAATCTAAGAGATTTATATTTAGTTCTATTAGGTGGAATCCAGGAAATAAAATATATATTTTTTTAAAGCTTGCACGATTGGGAATCACTGATCTAAATATTTTATGCCCATAATTACTTTTTCTAAAATCTCATCATCATCTACAGCAGCAGCATCATAACAGTTACTCCAATAATTCACATTTCTTTCACATACTCCTTGTAAGGTTTCATAGGAACAAACAAAAGTTGATTTCTGCAAGATTACTGAGCTAGTAGGAGGTAGGTTATTTGACTTCATATCCTAAATTTTTTCAACTACACATAGTAGACTGCTGCTTCTGATATTTACCTCTTCTGTGAGTGACTGATACCTACTAGTTATATACCTAGAGATGAAGGTAATGGGCATGAGAGAAAATAAAGTGACTAAAACCACAGATAATTTAGAATTAAAGAATTTAGACTCATAAAGACCTTTGTGATTCAGGACCAGTAACAATGAAATTTCATGTTAATTAAAATTTTGGTTAACAACTGGTTAACAACAATTTCATTAATATCGGACTAGGAAGTGCAGTAAATAATAATAAGACATCCAAAATGGAGGGAACCCTAAGCAAGATGATTCATTTACTTAATTCAAGAAAGATTTCAGTTCTTACTCTCTTGTAAGAACTCTCTCTCTTCTCACAGAGAATTCTTATTCTCTGTGGTCCTAGGGAACAGGCAGTTGTAGCACCAGGAGACTAATTTCTGCTTAGTTTAAATATAAATCTTTAGCAAGAATTAAAAAGAATAAAAAATACCTCTGAAAGAATTAATGCTTGAAATTCATATCTAGAGGAAAGATTTTAGCTGCAGTAATTACCTACATAATATTCATGGTCCTTCTTTGAGGAGGGAAGGAAACCTTATGTATATCAAACCCGAGCTGCAGGACAGACCTCAGAGCTTAAATGAACACAGCTGTAAGACGCATTAAAGAATTTTGCCTAAGTCCTATGATTTAGGCTGATTACAAAGCAGCTAAAAGCAGGTGCGAGGGTATAAATCTCCATGGTTGGTTTTCACCTGTTGTAAAACTACAATGCTTCTTAAACTTCAATGTATAAGCAAATCACCTAAGGATCTTAGTAAAATTTGATTCATCAGATATAGGATGGGGAAGGGCTGAGATCTCACATTTCTAATGATATCCCAAGTGATGCTAATACTGCTATTCTGCAGACTATATTTTGAATATTAAGGTAATACAGAATTTTCTCCCCAAATAACAGTTTTCAGACTGTGATCACCAAAACAATGACATCAACATCACTTGAGAACATGTTAGAGATGCAGATTCCCAGGCCCTGTCCAGACCTATTCAATCAGAACTCTGGCAGTGAGGACCCAGGCATCCATAGTGCCTCAAGCCTTCCAGGGGATTTTGATGCTAAAGTCTAAGAGTCACTGATTTAGAGAAGTATTTATCCAGCCATAATAAAATCACCCTACCTAAGAGCTTAAAAAAAAAAGCAGTCCCTGGGCTCCATTAGCAGGCAGGATGTGGGACACTTCATTGTGAGTATTTGTAAAAATCTCAACATGTGCTTGCAATGTGCGGCCCAGTTTGAGAACCAAGAGAGACAGAGAGAGAGAGAGACAGAGACAGAGACAAAGAGAGACGAGAGATCCACTCACTTACTTCTGGAGTCTTCGCCAGCAAAAGTCTGGTAGAGGTGGTGATGTCCAGGTCTGCTGGGCCAGTGGCTGTCCTCCTCCTCACTGTTGCTTTGCACCTGTAACCAAGGTCCCCGCAGAACTCAGTCAGCACCAGTGGTGGGGAAAAGTGCAGGATGGCAGGCGACACAGGGGAAAGAGGCTGAGTGTACTTGAGTAACCTGGCCTCGTCTCTTGCGGTAGGAGCCCGGCAGTGAGGAAGGCAGGGCCAGCTCTGCATTCAGTGAGGGCTGGCACACATGCAAATAAGACTGCGGACCATCACGGCTTCTCTTTGTGTCAAGGGTTTGACAGATTTTCCTCAAGACTCTGGCACTTGGTTGTAGCACTGTCTATAGCCCCAGGCAAGAGCAATCCTGGGTTTTACAGAGCTCATGGGATGATGAGTCAGTGGACCGAGAGAATGTGTCCACTTTGATTTTGCACTAGCCCTTCTAGACCATGCTCTGGATGCCCACAATCCCCTCCCCAAATGCAACTCAAATGGCCCCAAGCCTATTTCAGGGAAATGCATTGGTTTTGCCTGGTGTCTGTTCTCTCAAGGCTGGCCTTTTTCCTAGGGTATGCACTCCTAGGCCTGAACGATGACTGGTAGATGGTTATATGGGTTGTGGGGGGGGGGAGTTGTGGGGGCTTCCCAGGTGGTGCTAGTGGTAAAGAACCCAGCTGCCAATGCAGGAGATGTGAGAGATGCAGGTTCAAGCCCCAGGTCAGGAAAATCCCCTGGAAGAGGGCATGGCAATCCACTCCAGTATTCTTGCCTAGAGAATCCCATGAACAGAAGAGCCTGGGTAGGCTACAGTCCATAGGGTCGCAGAGTCGGACGTGACTGAAGTGACTTAGCATGCATGCACACATGCAGGGGTTTGTGGCATTTGAATATGCCAGCTGGGGTGCTCACACATGGTGTGCAAAATCCCTTATGGTGCAGGACAGATGTGGGTATGGGAAGAGAAGGAGATAGGGAAGGGAAGGGCTAGGATGGCTCTGCCCACGCTGCCATATTCTACCACTGAAGTTCTAAGAGGGAGAATTCTAGATTTGAATCTGAATTTCTAGGTCTTCGTGGTTATATACTTGCCAAGGTAGAAGAGATTTTATATAATCATGTTTAGTTGAGTGTGTAACTGACCTCTATCTGTACTCGTGTGTATCCCACAAATGATAGGGGTAGGTGTGTTTGATGGGAAATTTTAGTGAAGATCAGCCTGGAAGAGGAATTAGAAAAATCGTGACAAAAACTGGGTGCTCTTAAGAAACTGGGTCTATTTCTCTTTCCCCTTTCTTCTATATTAATTTTGGTTGATCAGTTGTATCCAACTCTTTGTAACCTCATGGACTGTAGCCCTCCAGGCTCCTCTGTCCATGGAATTCTCCATGCAAGAATACTGGAGTGGGTAGCCATGCCCTTTTCCAGGGGATCTTCCCGACCCAGGGATCAAACCTGGGACTCCAGCACTGTAGGCGGACTGTTAACCATCTGAGCCACCAGGGGTCCCACTTTCAAAGGTTTCTGAATGTAATTCAAGACTTGGTATATCTGACAAGGAGGATATATTTTAACCCAAGGGCAAGAATCCAGAATTCAAGGGCAGGAATGCCAACCTCTCCCTCACTTTCAACCCGCTCACCTCCAAGTCCCAAGTGTCCTGCCACTGCTCAGTTAGGGATCGGTGCATTTCTGTTCCCTCTTGACTCTGTTTCCATTTCTGCTGGATGAGGGACAGATCCAGTGAGTTAACCTTCTTGCCCGTGGGATTCTTCTGAAACAGACTCTTTCGTGCTCTGCTCTTTCTTGTCCAGAAGGCACCTTCCTGGACCGAGGGGGCCTCCTTACTGCTGGCCTGCAGCCCCCACAGCTCTCTCTGTTCCTGCACAGGGTCTGTGCTGCACTGCAGATCTGCTCTGGGCAGAGGATGTGAGCAACATGGTATCCTGAGGTCAGAACCCAGAGTTTCTGAAGGTTCTTGCCATGTGGACATCCCCTGCTGTGTTTCTTCTTTAAGGCAGAGGACACATGGGCAGTAAGAAGTAGGCAGTTTTGTGCCCTTGGTAGGGGGCAAGGGATCACCCCGTGGGCCTGGTCCAAACCCAGAGTCTTGCTGGAGGACCAGCTTCTCTCCTCTCACTCTGTCCATCACCTCCCACACCACCTGGTCCAAACTGTTCCTTTTGGGAGTGTGGTCGGGTGGGGATAGTCTATCTCGTGGGCACGTGTACAGGCACATTTTGGAGATGGCTTTCCGGAGGCGCTCTCTGGGTGAGTGAGGTTCAGGCTCTGGGGACAGAATCTTGATGGATGGCATGTCAGCTGGGTTGCAATTCCAGAACATGTGGGATGGTGTGAACTTTTGGACAGGTGTCTTAGATACGTAGGAGTAGAGACAGAAGAAGGCATCTGCGGTGACGGCCAGTGTTTGCACTTGCTTAAACCTGCCTGAGTGCAAGGGGTGAAGATGGTGAGTCTAGGAGTCATCAGAAAATTACTTCTTGAATTTTTCCCTTCAATAGCTTTCCTAAAACTCAAAGTTCAGAAAGAAGAGGCCCATTTCTCTACCAACATTTCTCCCATTTAGATTTCTTAGACCTAGGATTCCCTTTCTTGATCTTCTTGACTATTTGACTCTTTATCCCCAGTAGTCTAGAAATTAATTCTATACAGGATGAAAAACTTTTCCATATCTTGATTTAGCATATCCTTTCTGCTGTCAATATACAATGACCTCTATCACTATGTTTGCTTTGGTAGTTCCCAACCTTTTTGGGACCAGAGACCAGTTCCATGGAAGACCATTTTTTCCATGGACTTGGGTTAGAGGGATGGCTTCAGCATGATTCAAGCGCATTACAAAGTATGCTTTGTTTTTATTATTATTATGTTAACTCCACCTTAGATAATCAGGCATTAGATCCCAGAGGTTGGGGACCCCTGCTTTAGATGGCAAATGTGACTAAAAAGGGCAAAACTAACATTGCATTCTTAGTAAGAAAACTTTAGGGTTATGGAAATCTTCTTTGATAGAAGCAAATTTGAGAGATAGCAGTTACTAGGCAATGGACAAGGGTAGAGAAATCTAGATGGTCTATATTATTTCTAATAGACTGTGCTTCTCAACATGTGGTCAGTAGTTCAGTAGCATTGGCATTACTTGGGAACTTAGGTTAATACAGAATCTCAGACTGTATCCCATGCATCTTAACAATATCCTTTCATAATTCATATGCACATCCATGTTTGAAAAGCATGTGATAAACCATTTACCCATTAAACTGTAAGAGTCCTAAAGGCAAGATCATGTTCCTCTTGCCTAGCTGCTATTCTTCCAGAATTTAACATCTCTACCTGGCACATAAAATACATTCAACAAAAACATCCTCAATCTTTAGGGTGCATAGGAATCATATAAAGTGCTTGTGAAATACTTCCACTGAAAATCCTTATGTCAGCAAGTGGAGCTCAGGAGTATAATTTTACCAAATTTTAAAGCTGAATCTATACAAAGGATCTGAAACAACAGTATCAGGAACACCACTATGATGGGGGGTAGTGTGGACTGTAAAAGAATATTATTTGAAACATATTCTAACATATAGAATAAAATAGTCTTTCATCCCTCATCAAAGTAGAGAGGCCCTCTCATATCCTTCTTCAGTATGGAATTGGGACAACTTAAATCATTGTTTCCCTAGATGTGGTAAGATTACACATAAGGATCATTGGTGTGCTTACTTAAATATTCCTGAGCCCTTCCTTCTCTGGAAGAAAAGCCAATGAATATGAATGCTTTATAAACTCCTGCACAATTTAACATAATTAACAGAACTGCTGTCCTAAATGGAACTTGTATTAATGTAATGGCTATAAATGGGGAACATTCACTAATTCCAACTGAGAAATAGAAAATGGTGACAAGATTTAAAGACATCAGTCCAATTTGATTCAGTGAAAAGAGAGAAGATCTAAAAGAAACTCACTGGGATACCAGGTCTCTTGAAAACTCTTCAAGAGAGAGAAGCAGAACTCAAAGTTCTCCATTCACTGAAGACAACAGAGGAAGACACAGACACAACAGGCAAAGGGTCAAGAGAAGCTAACCAAGAGAAAGTAGGATTTAGAGCCACTGATCCCTGTTATGACTGTCTGGAGGCTGAGAAAGGCGTAGAGCACAGGTCTGTGCTAACACTCACTGGCCAGCATGAGGCAAGGGTCCTCCATCTCAATCCTCCGCACTTGGGACTTCAGGAAGAGCTGGAAATCAATGCCTTTGGCTTGAGAGGGGGTGGTGAAAAATCGAGCAGGGATTCGAGAAGTGTCTTTGTGGTCCTCCTGACCAAAGCCCAGGCTGAAAAGGACATCTTCTGCATCTTCTTGCACCTTGTCCAGAATCTCTGAGATGCTGAAAAGTGGGGGTTTGGGTAAACACAGGAAGCTTTGAGAAACAGGGTAATCCAGACCATCTAATAAAAGTGTGAGGACACTGAGATACCTTTCTGGCCATTTCTCTGTCTACCACTGCAGCCCAGAAAAGCTTTCACTTCTCTGAATCTAAATTCTCTGTCTGGAACCTGGGAATTACAATCTGGCCTTGGTTTAAAAATTGAACATGATTCTATTAGAGTACTTCAAACAACTGATTAAAATAATTACAGATGAATGAGAATTTGCTATGAGAGGGATCTGAAAAATCAAAATCAGTGTAGTTGCAAAATGCTTTGTGGTTGTGTTATTAACCAGCCAGTTCCCATTTGCTACATGATAGAGCTGGCTTTTGCCAAGTGCTTTGTAACTTGCACCAGCTTGCACCAGTAGTTGGTGGACCAACCAGGCAATGAGTGTGTAAGCAACACAGAACTCATTTTCTTCTCACCCTGAGGATAAAATTATATCAATACAGCTGTGTTAGGTAGGCCTGTTTGTAGCACAATTTCAGGATAGAAGCCCTGCATCTGTAGATCAAACACTTTCTGTCTCCAACATACATCTATGCGCAGATTGTTGCAGCACCAGGCTGCTGACACAGGAGCTCGCTAACAGTGCATTCCAAACATCAGTGAGAGCAGGGGAACTGTCAATTATTTGAGGCTTTGACTAATCACTGTTAATCTCTTCGGAAAGGATGCCAGGTGTTCCAAACTGTTTAAGTAAACACTCTTGTTTAAGTAAAAGCTGGATAATTGGAATCCCTGGTTCTATTCTTGTGCGTTCCTCCTCACTGCTAATTTCATCTCCATGATCCCAAGTTTCCTTATCTGAATTGCGGTCATAAGACTAGATCCCTGAGGAGGCGGGATATCAACGTGGCAGAAAAGGAAGATGCTGAGTTCACTGCCCTCAGTGAACACACCAAAATATACATCCACACGCGGAGCAGTTCTTGCTGAAATCAGACTGGATGGAGACTAGCAGAAAGACTCTTTGACAACTAAGGCTATCAAGAATGATCTACACGGAAGTGGGTAGGAAGAGAAGAGAAACGATCGGATCAGGATCTGTATCCCTAGGAGAGGACACAGAGGAGGAGGGGGGTCCCAGAGGCTCAGAGAGCCTCCTTGGGGAATGGATGGTTCAAACCACAAATTGGGCACCATAGCCCTCGAGTCTGACGCTGGGCAGAGGCGTCCCATTTGCTAGCTTGAAAACCAGTAGGACTAACAGGAGGGTGGTAAGAACCGTGCTCGCAAAGATTATGCACACACTTGCTTACTCCTGAAACAGGGATGAGGAGGCAGATTCAGTGTCTGGGACTCTGGCCAGCTTCCTGCAACCTACACTGAGCATCACGCCAGCTCTTCTCACTCGCTAGTGCGGCGCTCCGCTAGGGTGGAGGCCCGTCTGTGAAGACTGGAGCTGTGGGGTGTGCAACTGGCTTGGACCCGGCACAGATCTGAAACGGGCGATGGCAGGCATTACTGTCGCTCCCGGAGGAAGCAGATCAGGAACGGGCTGAAACTCTAACTGAATGTGCCAGAACTTCTCCAGAGTGGGCCCTAGCCTGCACCGGGTACCTGCTCTGCCCTTCTTGCTCTAGCACTGCTCCCCTCCGGGGCGAAGGTAGCAATGCTGGGATGGGGGAGTGCACCCACTAAAAGGGAAGGGAGCCAGCTCAGACCTGACCCCCGGGAATCCTGCCCCAAAAACGCAGGACACAGTCTTGCCCTGGATAGGGAACTGTCAGTCACCGAGCCAGAAGCCCTGGCTCACACCTAACTCTGGCTCTAGCCATCACCCTCACCCCCCATCTCTAGCTGCGCTTTCCACTAAGGTGATAGTATATGTAAAATAGCCAATGAGAATTTGCTCTAAATCAAAAGGAGCTCAAATGTGACTTGTACTCATTTCAGATACAGCTCTTTTATAAAGCTACAGTCATCAAAGCAGTATGTTACTGGCACAAAAAGAGACACACGGATCAACGGAACAGAACAGAGCCCAGAAATACACCCATGCATGTATAGTCTAGTAGTCTATGATATAGGGGGAAAGAATATACAATGGAATAAAAGACAGTTCAAGAAATGGTGCTGGGAAAACTGGATAGCTGCATGTAAAAGAATGAAATTAGAACATTTTCCTACCCCATAAAAAAATAAACTCAAAATGGATAAAGATAGTTCCAGAAGAATAGAAACCATAAAACTCCTAGAAGAAAACACAGCCACATTACTCTTGAACATAAATCATAGCAAAGCTTGTTTCAATCTGTCTCATAAGGCAAAGGAAACAAAAGCAAAAGTGAACAAATGGGACCTGACTAAACTTAAAACATTTTGCACAACAAAGGAAACCATTTACAAAATGAAAAGGCAACCTACTGGACGGGAGAAAATATTTTCAAATGATATGACTGATAATGAGTTAATATAAAATGAGTACATAGCTCATATAACTCATATAAAAAAAAAGAAACTAATTAGAAGATGGGCAGAAGACCTGAATAGATATTTTCCCAAAAAAGACATATAGATGGCCAATAGACCCCATGAAAAGATGGTCATCATTAGTGGAATATTACTCAGCCATAAAAAAGGAATACATTTGAGTCAGTTCTAATGAAGTGGATGAACCTGAAGCCTATTATACAAAATAAAGTAAATCAGAAAGAGAAAAACAAATATCATATTAACACACACACACACATATGGAACCTACTGGCAGAACAGCAGTGGAGACGTAGACACGGAACAGACTGGGGACACAGGGACAAGGAGAGGGCCGGACGAGCTGAGAGAGTGGCGTGGAAATACATGCATTATCACATGTAAAACAGCCAGTGATTTGCTCTATAAACCAAAAGGAGCTCAAGCCTGGTGCTCTGTGACAAGTTAGAGGGGTGGGATGGGATGGGAGGTGGGAGGCAGGTTCAAGAGGGAGGGGTTATATACCAATGGCCGATTCATGCTGATGTGTGGCAGAAACCAACACAATATTGTAAAGCAATTATTCTCTAACTAAGAATGAAAAATTAAAAACAGGAAAATCAAGGGAAAAAAGATGTGGTATATATCAGACATAAAAAAGAATGAAATAATACCATTTGCAGCAACACAGATCTAGAAATTATTATACTAAGTGAAGCAAGTCAGAGAGAGATAAATATCATATGATATTACTTACACATGGAATAAAAAAAAGATACAAATGAACTTATTTACAAAATAGAAATAGACTCACAGACACAGAAAGCAAGTTTATGGTTACCAAAGGGGATAGCAGGGGATGAGAGATAAATTAGGAGTTTGGGATTAACACATATACACTACTATATATAAAATGGGTAAACAATAAGGACCTACTATACAACACAGGAAACTATACTCAATATTTTGTAATAACCTATAATAGAAAATAATCTGAATAAGAATATATATATATATTTGAATCACTTTGCTGTACATTTGAAGCATTGTAAATCAAATGTACTTCAACAAAAGTTTTCTTTTAAACGCAGACATTTGAGTCTCGCCCCCAGAGAGTCTATGTGTTAACTGAATTGGGGTGTAAGGCTCAGTGAGTACAAATCACTAAAAATAGTAAATAAGCTAATAAGTCTGAGAACCAGGTTTGATGTTAAAACTTTGACTCCAAATTCCAAACAATTTTTATAATAGCACACTAGTTCTCATCATTTTCCACCTTGTTTTAGAGTTATTGGTGTGTATTTTTTTTTCACCCTATAGAACTGTTGAGCTCCTGCAGGCAAACTTTTTATCTGCTTAATTTTCAAATTCCATACAGTCATTGCCTGCTCTGCATTTGGAGATACAAAATTGCTTGAATGAATCAATATTTTATCACCTCAATCAATCAATCAATTAATGGATACATTTATTGATTGTTTTGTTGTTGTTCAGTCACTAAGTCATGTCCAAATCTTTGTGACCCATGGACTGCAGCATGCCAGGTTTCCCTGTCCTTCACTATCTCTGGCAGTTTGCTGAAATTGATATCCAGCTGATTGTTTGCTGAGAACTTATTATAAGTCCTGGAAATGTGATGGGACCAATATCACACTTCCTGGTGTACAAAGTCCAGGGGAGGAGACACCTGTACTTTACACACAGCAACCAGCTCTGAGTAGTAGATATCTGTGCATCCCTGCTATTCTTGAAGCACATGTCACCCTTGTCAAGTGTGTGACTGCATAGAAGCGCTAGTACTATATCCCAGAAAAAAACTGGCAATGGTTCTCAGTTCCAGTCTCTTCTGCCTTTCATCTTCCCTGACCTTATACCCTGCCAAACTTGGTACCTACCTTGAACTAGTCTTGTTGGTCCCACCAGTCATGCTGCTGGAAGCCAAACTGCAGCCAAGATCTAGTAGCTGTCCGGGCCGGGATGTCTCCAGGAAGCTCCTGCAGGAATCAATGCTGAAGTCACACTAATCTTGTGAGCAATCAGTCTGTACTCTGGCTTCTAGACATGCCCTGTGGGCACAGTCACTCCCTGCTGGGTATGTTTGAACCATCTACTATAAAAACTGAATCTATGGTCTCATTTCTGGTTGGAAATTTCACTCTCTATTATGAAACTGCAGCTCTTTGTTTTTAATCTCTTGGACTCTGATGCCCACCCCAATTCAGTAGCTTCTGAAAGAGACATCACTCAGCCTGGCTGAAACTAACACTTACCTGGAGTAGAGTTTGCTGCTGGCGGCCAAAAGTGTGGCTGGACAAGTAATAGAAAGACACAGTTAGAAGGGAAAATGAAAATCATCTGAGCTGCCCCTCTGAACTTAAACCTCAGCCCCTTCTGCCTCTCTCTGCTACTACTGCAGGCCCATAAACCCTATGAACCCTGTTCTTTAGGAAAGTATATGAAGATTATCAAACATAGACCTGGAAGGGGGACAAACATGGCAGAGAAAAACTGGCCCCGAGCCTTTGAGCTTCTGAACCATGCCTGGTGTCCAGACAAGAGTTTCTCTGTCCTGAGGAGGACAGAGTCATTCAGGCCACCAGGCTAGCATTCCTGCTTCACCACATGTGTCTCTAAGGGTCCCAGAAGATACAGGTGCGTTGCTGTATCTCCATCCTTCATTTCAGCCTTTATCTTCCTCCAAGGTAATCTCTCTCTTACACCCAGTACTCAGGCTGCTTGGGGCTTCTATATGGAAAACCATTTCAAAGATGTCTGGGCAGCCAACTTTATGGTGATTTTATGTATTATCTTCCCAGGGGCCAAAGGAAAGCTCCAATGATGAACCAGTAAATGTCTTGATAGGCTGGTGAGCAGACATTTCTGGGCATGTGATGCTTTCTGAGTTTTCCATTAGATCATATGGGATTGCTCTTTCCCTGCAGAGAAGACGCCATGGATGTGCTGCTGCTTTCTGCAGTTCTCCCCTTCCAGTCTATCTTCATTCATCCAGTGGATAGCAGCTTCCTCAATCCCAACCTCAGAGAGCTGTGCCACTTACCCTCTGCTCCAAGGCTCAAGTCATCTTCAAAGCTGGTTCCATGGCTGGGGCACCCTGTCAAATAATGAGGCAAGGGCTGTAGAAAATCAGGCTTGGACTCACACACATGCTCAAACACTTATATACACATCTACAACCACACAGTCACATCACCCATCCACACATCTGCAAAACAACCCCAGCCATACATATACTAAAATCACATTCATAATTCTGATTAAAAAGAATCAAGTAAAAATTTCTGTTGTTTTATAAAATTACCTATAATTAATCTGTCCCCAAATCACATAGTCATATACACAGTCCTTTGTCAAAGAATTAGCACATGGGGGCATACACTCATACTCACAAACATACATACACAGACACACACATTTTATAAAGCTCTTTGTCCATAGCAGCGATTATTAGCTGAGCAACCACTAACAGAAGATGACCTTTGAGGACTAGTCGGCCTGTGGGCTTTCAGCCAACACTATCTTCTGGGCCTTCTGGATTGCCTTATGACCATTAATAGGTGTTCTGCAGGCAGTGAAAAGATAGATTCTCATGCACTCATATGCATGTGCATGTACACACACACACAGAGTGATGTCACCGTTTAAGGTGGATGAACAGGAGAAGAAAGAATAGAGCCTCTACTTACCATTGTAGTTCGACTGTCCTGTTTCCTCAAAAAACCCTTCTTCAGAGTATCTAAAAACCAAAAAGAAACCCACAGGTTTAAATCACTACATTTTCAAAGGGGCTTTTCTTCAAATATCTCCCACAAGTTTGTGTAATTTTCTAATGAGAGTCAGCAGTATTTAAATCGCTTTTATGTTGAAGAAAATGGAGAGTGATGATTTGACTGACAAATCCATACAGGCAGTCAGAGGGCCCCATATTTTAAATTGGGCTGCCATCATGCTGACCACAGTGCCCCAAGTCAGCTTAGCAATAATTCTTCAGAAGCTAGGAAATAGGAAGAAAAGAATATGGAAACAAAACTGGAGAAATCTATTTACAGAAGCAGGGGTTTGGGTACCATAAACTTGCCATTACAAATGCAAATATTGAGACTAAGAAAAAAATCTTTTAGGAGGTCATCTTATCTACCCACCCTTCCTTTCTTTCCTCTTAGCTCCATTCTTGGTGAATATCATGTCTTTCAGGAAGCAGTAGGAACGGCATTTCGGTTGAAGATTATATTTCTACATTTTGAGATATGTGCTTTATCAAACATTCACTATCTCCACAAGAACAGATGGAAGTCAGCATACACGGTAGTGAGAAACAACTTAAACAAGGAAGAAATTCACTGTCGGAAACAAGTGAATGAAGTTGTCAATGAAAAAAGCTTTAAATGGGGAACAGAGTATCTGGATTCTAGTCCTGGCACCTTGCTGCTGCTATGTTCTCAAATATATTAAGTAATGGGATTTAGATGCCTAGATATTATCATTGTCTAAGTTCACTTTGAGCACCGATGTGTTGTGAGTTTTATAGTTGGCTTTCCTGAAAGTTTTAAAAATGGAAGTTGCACATGATGCTTTGCATATAATCTCAAACGGAGGCTTGAACAGAGAAGAGTTGCTAAAGCGAGTTAACAGGGAAACTGACTGGAAAGCAGCCATTGGAGCTGTTCTTAAACAAGTCTTCTCCTTTATTCAGTGATCCAGGCAACTCTCAGGCCATCAGAGTATCAGTTCATGAAATGTTTCATAATGAAAATGGGCTTACAGACACTGTAGAACAAACTGTGCTTAATTTTTCAAAATACATCACTATATATGACTGGTACTTTCCTTTAAATAGTGAAAAAATCAACAATATTTTCTAAAATCTGGATTTTTACCTGTCCTCATAAGAAAAACATCAATGTGTGTTATAAAATGTAGAATTATACTCAAGGTAATTAAGAATGGGTAATTCTAATAAACACAATTAGAACTACAAATATATACTTTTCTTCCTAATATATAATTGCATAAAAACATATGTTATAATACAACAAACGTGTTAGTACATAGAACATCACAAATATTAGTATAAATTAATATTTCCTACTACTATTAAAAGACATTATGATAGCTAATGCAGTCAAATACTAGAATGACAAGATCTACTGTTGCATTTAATACTTGTGGTGTCAGTTCACAGAAATGCAACTACTAAAGCCCACTACTAATATGACTACAATAAAACACACTACTGTTGCATTTCTAGGTATGCCATCAACGGAAATGCCTGTATATAGTCACCAAAAGAAATAATATATATAATAACCCAGAATCAGGAGACTCCCAAATCTCTAATTATTGTAAAGCAGATAAATTGCACGATGGATAGACAACCAGGGCTACACAATTAAAAAGAAGGACCTATTGCTGGATGAAAATGCATCGATGAACATCACAAACTTAAGGCTGAACAAAAGAAGCATGTATAAAAAAGTGCATATGGTATGATTCCATGTATATAAAGTTTAAAAAGTACAAAACTTATCTATGATGCTACAAGTCAGGGTACTGGTTACCCTTGGAAGTAGGGCAGTGAACAGGAGGGGACATAAGGGGCTTCTGGAGTGCGGGCAATGTTTCACGTTAGATTTGTCAGATTTCATCATTCTATTCCCTTTGAGAAAATTCACTGAACCATATACTTAATCCTCACTTATTTTTCAGTAAATATTTTATACTTCAACATGATTTATATTGCTCTTATTTTAACAGGTTTTTTTTTTTTTGAGGTTGATATACAAGGAACAGCACATATTTAACATGTGTAACTTGATAAGCTTGGACATATGTAAACACTTGTGATACCATCCATCACCAATCGAGGAAACAGACATATCCAACAATTCCCAGGGTATCTTCATTTCCCTTTGACTTTTTTTTTTTTGAAATAAGAACACCTAACATGAGATCTACCCTCTAAACAAGTTTTGAAGTGCCCAGTGCCGCAGTGTTAACTACAGGCACCACGTGGTCAGCACTCGTAGCGGGAATGTATTCATCTGACACAGCTGTAATTTACATTCACTGAGTTGAACAATTTATATTAAAAAGAAAAATTCTACTGATGTGTATACTATACTTCAATAAAATTTACATTAAAATACCACTGATAAAATTCCTTATTTGTCCAAAACAAGATTTGGTAATACAAGATTTGCTGGGTGTGCATCCTTTGTTTCTATTTTCTAGTTGTGCTCTAGCAGGCATTTCTATAGTCTATATACGAGGACCAGCTCAGGCTGACCCTTGCTTTTCTATGTGTATGTGGGATACACAACAGAAGTATGGACAAAAGCCTGGATGTGTTGATGTCTTCTCACTGAGAATGATGGTCTGACATTTCACAGCCCTCACCCAAGTCCCAGGCCTTTCATGAGTTATTGCTTAGGACATAAAATCAATGACTAGAGACTAGATCCAGAGCTTGCTCCTCTCCATATTTGTATTGAAAGGTCCCTTAGCATCATTTCATTCTGACATAGAAGGGCCAAGTTACTGCTCTTCCTAAACTCATAAACTCATAAACAAAGAGTACGAAGGAGTATTGAACTGTGGGAAGCATTTTAAATCCTGGGGCAGTTCTTATACACCCAAACCTGCAAGCATTCCCATTAACATCATCCCTTTAATTCCCTGTATTTTGATTACCCTTAATTGACTTTTGAAGTAAAAAAAATTTGAACCAGATTATGACAATCAATAAAGACAATACATTTTATAAACAACAACAACAACAACAAACCAAAATAAATCCTTCCTGGCCTCACCTCCCAGGGCAGAGTTAAAATAAACAACCTTGGATTATGCAGTGCTATTTATTTCCTACTAAATAAACCAGGATGGGTTTATTTTTATGTTAATAAACGAGTTTAGATGAAAGGTTATATCAACCTGGGGACATTTCTGGAGAGGAAATAAAGAGCAGGCAGAAGTTTTTAAGTTCTCAGAATTCATTATCACACAAATGATCACACTTAAACAGGTCACAAAGCTTTCCCTCCGTGTCTGAGCAGACTGAGCCTAAAATGGGACAGCCTGTTGGGGGTGTGGGGCCTCAAATTTTAAGAGTTTCTCAGGAAAAAAGAAATACTACAATCTGCCTTGAAGTACCTGTTCCACTTAGTCAGTGCTTTGAATAACTAGGGTAAACGCTTAGTCCTTGTAGAAATAAGCAATGTAATGATTCATAATGATGAATTACTCTGGTCATAAGAACAGTTAGGTTTTTAACTCCTCTTCTGTCTGCAGTGTAAGACTCCGATCCAAAGGGAAAAACAATGGGACAAGGACTGGAGTTTAGCCCAGTCATTCACTGTGGTTGCCAGCTTCTGTCCTTCTTGGTTTTAGACCAGATCCAGCCTGTTTCCAGACCTTCGCCCTAACTTGGTCTCAGCCCAGAGAGGCACTTGACTCACAGCCCTAACCCCCACACTCACCCATTTCTTTACAGAGCGTCTCACTCATTTCAACCTCACTTCTAACTACGAGGCCCAGTTAAAACTCATGCCTCTGTCCCCGAGTCCTCCAGTGGCAGCACGCCCAACCACCAGCCATGCTCACCACCACTTTGCTGGCACTTACCCGCAATCTTGCAGCCAGTCTTCAATCTTGTTGATTGGATTTCCTAGAAAAGTCAGATATCGGGTCACTGTGGGGACCAAAGGAGATCAGACTTCCTCCCTGGAACTCAGCCTATTCCACAAATTTATCCTTATTCAAGCCACCTCATGAACCCTTTTTATTCCCATAAAACTTTCCCTTAAGGTACAAGAGTGATATACCCATGTAAAAAAACAGTGGACGTCTCTTTTCTCTTGGCCTCTGTGCCCCCCTTCTCCCAGAAACTTGGAAAATACCCCAAGGTTTGGGAACAGGGGTAGATTCTTCTGTTTAAAGAAAAAAGAAAGAAAAAACAATAAAAACCAGCACAATTTTGCTTTTGTTCTTTTTGTTTCCTGTCAAATAAGCAAGGGTAGGCTTATTTACATAAGATTTATTTTTTATTTTTCAATCTTGTCTGTAGCATCATTTGAACCTCCAAGAAGTTCTGAGAGGCATGTGGAAAAGGTACTATTGCTATTTCAGGTACTAATACTTCAATCAGACAAGTATGTCCTAGAGGCGTGAATGACCTGCCAAAGGTCACGTCAGCAAGTGAGCCGCAGCCAGAGTCCAGGCACCAAGGCGGAGTGTGGCTTTGTCACATGGACGACAAAGGAATACCTCAGCATTCACAGAGCTCCCGGCCTGGGGTCCTCACAGCTAGCGGGGCGATGCAGAAGTGTGCCCCTTCCTCTTCCTCAGTCTTAGGCCCTTTCTTTCCTACACAATTCACGCCTTGTGTTACTGTCTTTCCGGTCTTCCCTTGAGCTCGTTTATCCCAGTCAAAATGAGCCACGCAGAGGGAGAGAGAAAGCTGCTCGGTCGTGTCCGACCCCATGGACTATACTGTCCGTGGAATTCTCCAGGCCAGAACACTGGAGTGGGAAGCCTTTTCCTTCTCCAGGGATCTGCCTAACCCAGGGATCAAACCCAGGTCTCCCGCACTGCGGGCAGATTCATCAGCTGAGCTACAAGGGAAGCCCAGGAATACTGGAGTAGGTAGCCTCTCCCATCTCCAGGCGATCTTCCCAACCCAGGAATCGAACCGGGGTCTCCTGAATCGCTGGCGGATTCTTTACCGCCAGGAGCTATCAGGGAAGAAACCGGGGACCCTCTGCCCGCACGGCAGACCTGAGCATCTGCCACATACTCCCTATCACAAGACAATGTGCCTCTCTGTTTGGCCTCCTTACCTTCCTGGAAAACGTCATCCAGGCCAGAGGGTTCGGCATCTGGGACATTCTGCAGGGCCGCTGCAGCCTCTTCCTCCAGGACCTGGGTCTGCCAGTGCCGGCTCTGACGGAGCCAGGCCCTGCGTCTCTCCCAGGACGTGGGGCTCAGCACGGAGACCTCCATGGCGCAGCTTCAGACTTCAGGGCCTCTGGCCACAGGGATGCTATCCTGAGAGTTGGATCACAGCAATACACCATCATCCTGTGTTCAGAATCCACCACCCCCGCGGTTGCCCCCACATTTTCCCAGCTCTGCACAAAGGAGCGTAACCCTCGGCCTATTCAAGAGCTGGGAGGAGATGTCTGGTTCTTAAAAAAAAAAAAAAAAAAAAGGAATGCTCTGAACAACCTAAATACCAGGGCAAGGCTTTCAAATCTGGAAAATTGAAACATTGTATGATTTAAGGTACAACGAGAAAGGGCTGTCTCTCATGATAGGTGAGATGTCATATTAGAAAACATTTTAATTCTTAAGAATTTTGTCTCCCAGAATATTTCATTAAATGAAAATATCTTTAAATTTGCAATGTGTAAATTTCATTTTATTTGATCTTCATAAAGATATATGAAAGGGGAAAGATTAGATCTCAAAGGTTAAACCAATTTTCTAAGGATCTCACAACCAGGATGTCATTCTAACTACAGCCATTCTGGGCTTGTTTTGTTTCCTGTTTAACATAGGATTTCTCTGGGGGAAATGGGGTGGGAGAAGCCCATAATAAAAACAACATGGAGACACTGTTATTGTTGTTGTTCAGTCACTAAGTAGTGTCCACTCTTTGTGACCCCATGGATTGTAGCACACCAGGCTTCCCTGTCCTTCACTGTCTCCTGTAGTTTGCTCAAATTCATGTCCATTGAGTTGGCGATTCAGCCCAGTTATCTCATCCACTGTTGCCCTCTTCTCCTTTTGCCTTCAACCTTTCCCAGCATCAGGGTCTTTTCTATTGAGTTGGCTCTTCACATCAAGTGGCCAAAGTACTGGAGCTTCAACTTCAGCATCAGTTCTTTCAATGAATATTCAAGGTTGATTTCCTTTAGTGTTGACCGGTTTGATCTCCTTGCAGTCCAAGAGACTCTCAAAGCTCTTCTCCAGCACCATGGTTCAAAAGCATCAATTCTTTGGTGCACAGCCTTCTTCATGGTCCAACTCACACCCATGACTACTGGAAAAACCATAGCTTTGACTATGTGGACCTTTGTTAGCATAAAATTGATGTCTCTGCTTTTTAATATACTATCTAGGTTTGTCATAGCTTTCCTTCCAAGGAGCAAGCCTCTTTTAATTTCATGGCTGCAGTCACCATCTGCAGTGATTTCGGAGCTCCCAAACATAAAATACGTCAATGCTTTCACTTTCCCCCTTCTATTTGCCAAGAAGTGATGGGACCAGATGCCATGATCTTAGTTTTTTTAAGGTTAAATTTCAAGCCAGTTTTTCACTCTCCTCTTTCACTATCATCAGGAGGCTGTTTAGTTTTTCTTCAATGTCTGCCATTACAGTGCTATCTTCTGCATATCTGAGGTTATTGATATTTCTGCTGGCAGTCTTGGTTCCCACTTGTGATTCATCCAGTCCAGCATTTTGCATGATGTACTCTGCATATGAGTTAAATAAATGGGGTGACAATATACAGTTTTGTCATATTCCTTGCCCAATTTTGAACCAATCAGTTGTTCCATGTCTGGTTCTAATGGTTGCTTCTTGACCTGCATACAGGTTTCTTAGGAGACAGGTAAAGTGTTCTGGTACTCCCATCTCTAAGAATTTTCCAGTTTGTTGTGATCCACACAGTCAAAGGCTTTAGTACAGCTGATGAAGCAGATGTAGATGTTTCTTTTCTGGAATTTCTGGATCAATTAGCAGTTACCACCTTCAGAATCATCACCTTCTAATTTGTCATCTTGGGTTTCTCCCTGGCTCTGAGTTAATTCCCCAGTTCATCAGAGTGCTAATATTTCATTTAACACTGCCTAATCAACACTTGTGTATTCTTCCAAGTGATGCATTCCGATGGCACGAGCCACTTATTCGTAGAGGAAAACAGAGGGAAATCACTCAATTGTACAAATAGAGCTTAAAAGATTTGAGGCAAATATACTGTAATTTGCTTATACTCTGTCCTCCTGCCTCTTCACCAGCTGTACTCACAACTTCCACAGTGAACAGGTGGAGGTGGGACCAGCCCTCATCCCTGGAGCTGCCATAAACACTCCATCCTCATAGCTACACCTTTATCTGTTAGAGTTAGGAAAAATAAAAGGGGGAAAAACAAGAAGAGAGCCAGTTGCCAGAGACTCCTGCTTTTCAGACTCTTAAACACAAACCCATCAGTGAAGCATTAATTTAGGCACTAAAATAGCTATTTTTGAAAAGAACATCCTAAATATGAAAGCCTTCCTAGGGCAATAAAATTGTTTTGGATGCTTCTGTTTGTTACAGACAAAGTATTTTCAGAGGAAAAGTATATATAATTACTGCTGTCTGATCTAAATTCTTTTACTTCAGGTCCAGCCTAAGGCATATGTTTCCCCCCAGGGAGAGACAGCAGTTGGCACTATACAACATTATTAACCCTGGACACTGGCCTCTTTGTCCACAGCCATTGCCTTTGAGGGGAAATTAGATGCTTCACTCTGTGATGCAGAGTGAAGCCGCAAAGAGCGGTAGCAGAGAGAATCTGTTGTCCTTTGGCTAAAGCTGCTGTGAGGTGATAAAACAAGGATGAAACTGCCACTGTAAAGAATTTAGGGAGAGAGTCAAAAAAGGCGTCTTAGCCTGCATCTACCTGGTCCTGCACCACCATCCAAAGCATTTAATAGGTTGGCATCAGTCAGACTGGGGAAGAAAATATCAAAGGTTGACTTGCCTGTTGTCATTAATTTCCAGAGCAAATGAACCTCACGTAAATCATAGGAAATCTGCAGCTCACCAAAACTTATTTGGGGATGAGGGGAATTTAAAAGGAAGTCAGAAAGGCAGTTGGAGAGGAAGGAAAGAAAGAGGGAAAGAAGTGAGAGAAGGAAGTTGGGAAGGGAGGGAAGAAGTGAGGAAAGGAGGGAAGGAAGGAAGGAACATGGATTCCCACATTCAGCCACTTGCTAACAGTATCAGTTCAGTTGAATTGCTCAGTCGTGTCCACCTCTTTGCGACCCCATGAGCCGCAACACGCCAGGCCTCCCTGTCCAACACCAACTCTCGGAACCTACCCAAACTCATGTCCATTGAGTCGGTGATGCCATCCAACCATCTCATCCTCTGTCGTCCCCTCGGCAAATTCACCCCCTTTCTCTGGGCTCGTTTTCCCAGTGAGGACGCTATAGCCAAGCACTGTGTCAGAATCTCACTAACTGAGATGAGTGATGGAGGCCTCTACTTGGGTTTCAACATCCTCCATGATGTGCATCTATCCTGCACTCCTCCTACTTCTTGGAAAATACATCACACTCATATAGACTCATTTCCCCTCTGCCCCCTGAAAATGCTTATCTCTCGTTTAACCCCAGGATTTTCACACAGTGTTTTCCCCTGTCTTCCCCCCACCTCAGCCTTTGACCCACTCAACCTGCAAAGCCCAGCTCTCAAGCAATTTCTCTGGGAAGCCAGTCCTGGCCTCCACAGCCTCCAGGCAATAGTCACTTCCTTGTAGTTCCTTCCCTTCTTCATTGTTCTTATCACTAACGTTATATTTTGCTTGTTAATCTAATTCATTATTTACTCTTCTGATTAAAATAGAAGCTCCACAAGACAGAGATTTTTCTCTGGGTTGTTCACTGCTATGCTCCTGATGCCTAAACAGAATCTAATTTTCTCCAATCTGTGCCACACTTGGATTATAGAGACGGGTTCACAGGGCATTGTGTGGGAACACTAAATGTAGAGCAATATTCCGAGGCACAAAGAAATAGAATTGTCTGGTTAGTGGTAGCAGAAGGAAGCTGTGTTGCTGGAAGATAAGAAACGGGGTGTTCTTTGTGGAAATCTGGAGGAAGTGGCAGATGATTATCAGACAAGCACATCAACAGTGAGAGTGTTAGCACCGAGGGATGCATGCACACAGCTGTCAGGGCGGTACCTTGGGAGGTATGGGGGTGGCTTGTAACAGAGAGAAGGTATGGAGGTATTTCCTCCAAACAAGTCGTGCAGAAACACACACCTGTGTGTGCAGTGGAGTTTGGTGCAGTGCAGCAAGCAGTGACTAGGAGTTGGGAGACTTGGTCATTCTTCCAAACTTGCTGTCCTGTTAACTGACTTCCGGTAAGTCAATCAGATTTTCTACTTGGGTATTGACTTTGTTCTCTGGAAGGTGATTGGTGGCAATAAATGTTGTAGAGTTTGCCTCTGATAATAACATTTATGAATTTATTCTAGTTGAATTTGAAATATTTGTAGGAATAATACTGTACAAAAGAAGCATTTGTGTAGTTTTTCCTGTAAGAGGATGGTCCAGTGGCCTTGGGAGCTACTTCCTACTTAACAAAGTTCCTTTCAATTAACACTGATTTATGAGGGTTTCCCTGGTGACTCAGACAGTAAAGAATCTGCCGCCCGTGCAGGGGACTCGGGTTTGATCCCTGGGTCGGGGAGGTCCCCTGGAGAAGGGAGTGACTGCCCACTCCAGTATCCTTGCCTGGAGAATTCCATGGACAGAGGAGCCTGGTGGGCTACGGTCCATGAGGTTGCAAAGAGACAGACATGATTGAGTGTCTAACACTTCGCTTTCCTGAGGTTCCAGACTTAAAACTTCCTAGTGACCTAGCAAAGTGGTAAGCCTGGATGAGAGAGGCTGAACAAAGGAGACCAGAGGAGTGTGACTCAGTCAGGAGAGCTCACGGGCCCCTGGCGCTTCTTGAGCTTCTCTGATCCTTTGCCTTAGTTTATACAGGTTCATCCACCTTCCTCTCTACCCAACCATATGCTGTCTATCCTTTGAAGGCCTCCTCAAGTTGTCTCTGTTCTCTTGCCCACCTCTAGCACCCAGCACATGGGCCTATACCACATTCAGCAAGATGTATGTGCCTACATTTCCTGTCATTATCCACCAATGCTTGAACCTCTCCCCTAAATCTTGCTCAGGACATTGCACAGTACCTCACAACAGAAGGGCTCAGCAGACACTGTAC